TTCTCTGCCATCCTGTAACTGTGGCTTCTATGTGGCTTCAGCCTGTCATGGTGCCCACTCCATCCCTAACTGCATAGCAAGAATCTTCTTTTCCAGGTCCCCACAGAAATTGATTTAACTTCCAAGGCCCTATCTGATTGGCCTACTTGAGTCAGGTGGTTATCCCTGGACCAGTCAGATGTGGCCTGGGGTCTGAAGTCGCTTGGGACAAACACGGCCGCCTAGACCCATCCCCTAGAGCAGAGTGTGGGTAAAAAGAGCAGCTTTACTTGGAAGGAGGGTGTACAGGGAGGCAGTGGTTGGCATCTCTGGGTGGGGTGAGAAGATATGAATCAAGGCGCCTGATTTCCAGTCACTCCTCTGCGTTAACCACCTGTGAGACCTAGAGCAAGGCACAGCCCCTCACTTTTGCCATCAGTAAAATGAGGAGGCTAGACAGGATAACCCCCAAAGTTCCTTCAGCTTCTACACTCGAGCCATCCCCGAGTAGCGCACAGTCAGGCTGGCCTCCGTGTTCAGGAGCTTCCTTGGCCTCCAAGCACCTCAGATCCCACCCCTCCTCTCACAGGCTTCTCAAACCCACTCTAGAGGGTCTCCAGAGCTTCTCCCCCCAACCCCGTCTGCAGCAGCCATGAACTAATCAACGGAGATGTTCTCTTGCTGACTTTTAAAATGTCCATTTGTGTAAGTTCATGATGAAGAGGTTGATTGACTGTTTACACTATTTCTGATACCCACCCGCCCAAATAGGGCTCATCTCACTCAGCCTGTGACAGCATTTTATTACCATGATAACAACTGCAATGACTACTTGTTCAGGATTGCTCAGTATTGCCATGTGCCTGGCTCAGCGAGAAGCTTTTCATTTTTTTCACATCTATCTCATGTAGTTCTTTCTCACAACCCTAGGAGGTAGGTACTGTTCACAACTCCATTTTTACATTTCCCTTTATGTGAGGAAACTGAGGCCGAAAGAGTAACAGCACACGTCTGAGGCCTCCCACCATGAGTGGAAAGGTCAGGACTCAAACTTCGGGGGTCTGACTTGGAGTCCACGCTCTGAGCCACCAGGTTTCCCTGCCTGCAGTGTCCTTGGAAACTCAGATGTGCCTGGCCCCAGAGGGGAAGTCAGCTTGCATTGAGCCTGCAGACCTGTGAGCGCTTCTGCACATTTCCATGCAGCAGAAGCTGGGTGCTCGCAGAAGCCCGCGATGCACGTGCTGATGAGTGCCCACCCCTACGTCCCTGCTAGCGCCTGGTGCCCAGGACCTGAAATGCCAGAAGTCAGCATTCTTTTCTCTCCAATGGCTTGTTTCTTCTAAGTGTATGAATGGCTCTTTGCCAGGCCCATTTAAAACCTTTGTAAGTTATGCAGAAATTAAATGGGTTTTCACCGCAGGGCATGAAAAATAATCCAAGAAGGTCAGACACAAGACCATCCCTTCTTTTTCCCCTTTTCCACTGTCTTCTTGGGTCCTGCTCTTAAATCCTCTAATCAGATGCTCAGAGAACTTGCGCTCTGGACCATGCCGTGTGGATGGGTGAAATGTCCTCTCCTCCCTGAGGCGGGCTGCGGAGAGCTGACATTCTTGCGGGAGCTGTCCCTCTCCTCTGGGCACTGGCTTCGTGGGGGGGGGGGGGGGGGAGGGTTGAGCTGACTAGCCAAGTGCTCTGAAGTGCTGTCTACCTGCCTCACATGCTCTGAAATCAGAGCATGTCCATCCTTTCTTGTGGCAGGAACCATAGGCCCCAATGGAGTGTTTGTTTTGGAGCGTGGGGCTGACTCTGGCACAAATATGTGATGTGCATGTTGGATCTAGAGAGAGAGGAGGCAAGAGAGAGAACTGTAGGTTAGCCGAGCGCCTCATAAAGATCTCAAGACCAGTGCCACCGTGGTGGCATGTTGGTGTGGAGGCTGGCTTCACTGAGCCCAGCACCAGGGGAGTCCACCCTCCATGGCTTTGCGTGTGGTGGCTCGGGCTATGGATTTGCAGAGTGCCTGTGTCCATCAGGGACCCCAGGAAACAGATCATCTCAGGTAGTTCCTTCAGTGAGAAAGCATTTCAGTGAAGAGACAACTTGCAAAGGGGTGGCCGGGGCCGGGGATGTTAAAGGGTGCTGGGGCACCAGAGACCAGTGCCAGTGGGAAGCTCTTACTGCCCCTAGGAGGAAGGGGAGGGGCGGGGACAATGCTGCCAGAGCCGCCGAAAGCTGGGGCCAAGGAGGGGGGGCTGGTGGGCTGGAGTTGGAGGGAGCAGGGAAGCAACACCCCAAATTCTTCCTCCTTCTGCCCCCTGAGCTCCTAGTAGCACCTCACATTCACAGAAGCCAACTAGAAGGCAGCCAGCAAGGGGGCCTGGGGATGCAGCCGTTGAGGTCACTCTGGGACGAGGAGACGGAGGCGGGCAGGTTGAGACAGAGCAGGGTGCTCCCTGGATCTGGGGGGTGCAGACAGGGAATGCCCAGCACGGTATCATTAATATTCATAGTGCTTCTTGGCACCTCCCTCCCTCCCCTTGAAGGTGTTCTTGTCTGCACTCCTCTAGAAGGCATTCAGACAATAGAATCATAACTGCCATCTTCCAGGCACTTATTATGTGCTGGGAAGTTTACACTCATGAGCTCCTGTCCTCTTCACACTAACCCTATGAGATATTATTAACTTCAATGTACAGAGAGGGGATTAAGGATCAGAGAGATTAAGTAACTAGCCCAAAGGCACACAGCGAGCCTGGGGTTCCAACAGAGGTCTGTCCATCCCTGAAGTCCTGACACTTGTCCGCTCTGCCTTCCTCACACACTTGATTCTCTTTTGGAGGGAAAGAGAGCATCCATTTTCCAAGCCACCACGCTGGGTAGAGCAGACCTTGCAAAGGAAAGGCAGATTCGGCAGTGCAGAGGTGTGAGGGAAGCACAAAAAACTCTAGCTGCCAGGAAACATTACACGGATGAGGACAGATGCTGTGCTTGATCTTCACCCAAAAGGCCGAGAAGTGACACCTCCCAGGACGTAAAGTGGGAAGCAGGAGACAGGGCCAGGCTAGAAGGGCCCGCGTGCTATGCACAGGGGCACTGGGCAGTCGTGGATGGTGTGCAGGAGAGGGGCCTCCCCCGTCTGATTCTTGTCCTCAGTGCTGCTTGCAGAAGGACAGCTTATGAGCCTGTCTATTCCGCCTGGCACTTGCCTGGTGATGGGGGAGAATCCGCACGCCCAGAAACAATGGCAACCCCGTGGCATTGTTCTCTGAAGGCCCTTCTGAGCCTGGCTGGGGCCTTACAGAGAACACCCTTGCCTCAGGCAGATAGTCCCAAGGAGGGCCTGCCACCAGCATGCCCAAGGCTGGTCCCCAAAGACAGAAGCTGCTGAAGGCAGTGAGGCAGGGCCCAGGTCATGGCCAGCAGCACGGAGCGGGGACAGTTATGTGGATGCCCACCTTGAAAGGAGCCCTGCAGGTGTCAGAAAGGACCCAGTCATTGTCCCAGTGTAAAGAGAGCACAGAAGACCAGGAATATTGTCTCTGATTTCAGGGAGCTCACAGGCCAGTTCCACGCTCCTGGTTAGGAGTTACCATCCGTGGTGGTAGTTGACCTCAGCATCGTACAGAAGAGTTAGAGAAAGAACTGCCATCAATGTTTTGGAGATTGTTGATAATAGAGCTCAAGATCTTGGGCTTGGAATTGGCTAGACCTGAGTTCAAGGCCCTCTTCTACCATTGCCTAGCTGTGTGACATTGGGCAAATTACTTAACCTCTCTGAGCCTCGGCTTCCTTTTCAAAAATAGAATTATAGCTTCCACCCAGAGAGCGCCTTGTTATAGAGCTGGCAGGTTCAGCCCATAGCCCGGGACCTGGCACCCAGCAGTCAGTCCCTCAACGGGAGCAGGGGTTGTGTTTATCTTTCTGTCTCTGTGAAGAGCCTCATTAGATTTCCTGTCCTCAGACGTGTCCAGAACTCTCTAAATTATGAATAAATTCACTCAACCAACGTTTAGCAGGCGTGGCTTACCTGCCAGGCCTTGTGGTGGGCGCTGCGGTGCAGAGAGTTGACAGTTGGGTGGAGGATGCAAACGTACTCAGAATATGATGTGCGAAGTACTATCAGAGAGCTTCATTCATGTCTTCCTAAAGGATATTTACTGAATGCCTGCCGTGTGCCAGGCACCATGCCGGGCAAGGGGGCATATAGAGCCCAGTGGTTTCCAAGGAACACATATGCTATGAGGGAAGATAGGCGCTGACCAAGGAATTATAGAGGAAATGTGGCTGGTGAAGAATTCCAGCATGTTGTGGGACCCTGAATATAAACAGCAGCAGGGGGTGGTGGCGTGGCGGGGGCTGACCTGTCTTAGGGGTCTGGAAAGCCTCCATGAAACCCCATGTCAGAAAGGGGCAAGGATCTATATGCATTGTACAGCAGCTGGAATCATGGAAGGCTCCCAGGAGGTGGTGACATTTGAGCAGGCCTTTCAGGCCCCTCTTGCAGCCTCAGTGGCAGGCTGCAATGGCCCAGGGATGGTATGTGGATGCCCCACCCCAGGGCAAACCAGGTAACCTCTGTGGTGCCAGGCAAAGCCCCCCGCCACCTTCTGGAGCAGACACCTCTCAGCTCCTTGCCCTTGAAACCTCCCAACATGCAGACTCCTGGGTCCCTCCAGAGCAGTCGGGGCCTGAGGCTTGGGCAGCCCAGGGGCACTTGACAAAGGAAACAAAACCACCAAGAAACAGGGGTTTAGGGACCACAAGGCCCTCATCCAGAACTCCAGGATGAGCAGATCATCTTTGGAACTGATGCTGTTACGGCCACCAGGAGGCCATCAAAAAAGAAGAAAAAATAGATACTGCATTTTAAATTCCTCTGGACCCTCTTAGAATAAAAATGACAGAGCTGCGGGTCTGGTTGGCTGGAGGGATGTGGCTAATGGGCTGTGGGGGAATAGTCACTGATGGAGGCAGCTGCTCCGAGCTCTACTCACCCTTTCATTTGCTTTGTTTCACCCCAGAACACCCCGGTGGGGACACCCATCTTCATTGTGAACGCCACGGACCCCGACCTGGGCGCGGGCGGGAGCGTCCTCTACTCCTTCCAGCCCCCCTCCCAGTTCTTCGCCATCGACAGCGCCCGCGGCATTGTCACGGTGATCCGGGAGCTGGACTACGAGACCACGCAGGCCTACCAGCTCACCGTCAACGCCACGGTGAGTCACCGCCCCGGGGCCCCAGGCAACCACATGTCTGCCTCCTCCCACCCTCGGAGAGAGCAACGGGCATCAACCTGGTTCCCTGCTAGCCAGGCTCTGTAATAGTGATGCTGGCGATAGGAGTAATAGTAGTGACGGCTGACACTACTGAGGGTTCGTGCTGTGTCCCTGGCGCTGTGCTGAGCACGCGAATGGATTGTCTCCATTAAACCTCACAACAGCCCTCTGTCATAAGTATTATTAAGATACCCGTCTTACAGATGAGGAAACGGAGGCACAGCAGCAGTTCCGTGACTTGCTCACGGTCACGCAGCAGCTGGACTCCAGCACCTGCACTGGGGACCCCCATAGGACATTCCTGGTGCAGGGTGTCCTCTCGCTCTCTGGGACACAGGGCGGAGGTGTCAACCCAGCTGTGTCCTGACACCACCCAACGTGCGGGAGCCAGAGGATCCAGGCGTCCTGGCCTCTGCTCTAGATGGTGATGCCTACACAGCAGGGAGCACCTGTCTGCGCCAAGCACCGTGCTGGGCCCTGGGAATTCCGGGATGAATTAGCCAGGAGGGGGAGGCGGGGGAGGAATGATTATCCCATTCTGTGGCTGACGCTGTTGAGACTCACAAGCTGATGAGTAGTGGGGAGCAGGGACCCAAACCCAGGTTGTCTGACACCCAGTCCGGTGCCCCATGGCCAGGGGTCTCTGAGTCTCCAGGACATCACAGCTGCTTGGCCTTTGTCGCCAGCTGTGTGTGAGGGCCTGGGGGACAGGCAGGCCACACCCTAAGTAGGGTCCTACCCCGCACTCCCCTCTTCTCTGCTTCTGGCCGCTGCTCCCAGCACAGCTGGAGCGTTCAGCTGGCAGCAGGGCCAGAGCTGGCCTGTTGTCCCTTAGATTTCTGTTTACAAAGCTCAGGCCAAGAGCAAAACAAATTACGGAGCCTCTCTTGACCCTGCAGGACCCATTTGCCTGACACACAGCATCCGCCCCCTGGTCCCATGTCACCGCAGCGGGGGCTGCCAGGAGCCCTGGGGGCTCCACCTGGCGGGTCACAGAGCCCAGATCCCAGGGAGACACACTGGACTGGGTCAAGGGTCTGGTTTGAAAGATGCGGCTCCCCAGGCTTGGGCAAGATGCCCGAAGAACCAGGAAATGCAAACTTTTTCTTTGTGCCTGGTCCAGCGGCCCTCGGGGAGGCCACTGCAGATGACATCCGCGTTCTTTCCTTCTCCCCTGGCTAAGTGTTCCTTGCCTGGGAGGATGTGTGTGCTGCTATTTGTAAAACTGACTTTTGGGATGAAAGGCCTTGCAAGGCCGGAATCTGCTTTTTGCACACACCTGGACGCTTCTGCACTCCCTTGCTCCCCAACGTGGGGTGGTGCCCCTCCCGCCACTCTCCATCTGCACACACCTGGGCCCAGAAACGCACAGATGCTTGCTCCCTTTCTCGCTATGAACCTGTCCCTGTGGGATTATTTCTGTCTACTGTAACAATGGCTTTGGGCAGGGGGGAAGAGATCAGAGCTGGGCACAGGCAGGAGTCTGGGTGGCCAGGCCCGTCAAGAGGCCTGGGCTCCAGCTGGGGTGGTGAGTACAGTTAAATTGCTGTTAATCTTCCAGCGATCAGGCCTTGAAGCAGTGCAACAGGGGGGCCTGAGAACTCCCTCTGATATTGATGGCTTCCCCACCTGATGCACAAGTCCCTCTCAGGACTGGCGCTGTGCCCTTGGCTGCTGGGCATTTCCCCAAGGAGACTCCCCTGTGTGGCATTGCAGGGAGCAGGGTGGGGTCCCTGCCACCACTGGGTGGGTACCAGGTGGGGAAGCGCGAGGACTCCCCTGGGAACAGGCTACTGAGAGCTGCAGGCCCCCGGGTGACAGCTGGAGGCTTGGCAAGGTGCCGGCACTGCCATCCCGTCTCCCCAGCCATGGAGTCCAAGGTGGGCTGGACGGGGGCACCTGTGGCAGGAACAGGACTGCAGCCACGGGTGTGAGAAGGGGAGGGCAGGTGCCAGGCTGGACAGAGCCTGCTGCCCACAAAAGGCTGGTAATGGCAAATGAGAACCGCTGGCATCCTCTGCCCGAGAGGCCCGGGGACTTCCTGCCAGGCCTGCCCCTCTGGCCCTGTCCGCCTGGTGGTCATTCAGATGGGTTTTGGGTTTCCTTTCTTGGTGAGCTTTCGCAGGACTAAATTTCCAAGTAACTAGGAGGGTTTAAACATTGCCTGCCTCGCCACAGGGGGATGGCCTGCATGACCTCTCAGGGTTCCTTCCTGGAGTCCCCCAAATGTCACAGGCCCTGGAGCTCCCTCTGCTGGTTAGAACGGAAAAGTCTCTTGACCAGTAAACCTAGAGTGCGGAGCAGGGATGCAGGTCCCAGAGTAGGCCCCTCTGTGGTCAAAGGGCCCTTCTTCTGAGGAACTCCCATCCTAGTCATTCCCTTGCTGCTCTGGGATGAGGAGGGGCCAGAAGTGGGCATGGAGAGGGGAGGTGGCCCCTAGCTGAATCCAGAGAAGTTGCTAAGAACAGCACCATCTCTTTACCCCAAGCCAGTCATCCCACCCACCAAATGTCCAGGGTGGTCAGCCTAGGCCGGGCTGGGGCAGGAGATCTAGCTCTACTGCAGCCCTGCTTTGTGACATTGGATAGGCCACCTGCCGCTGGGCCATGGGGGCCCTGTTTGTGTTTCCCTGCACAGGTCAGAGATCATTGTGGGTTCTTAGAGTGGGTGAGCCCCTGTGTACTAATGCCTTCCCTTGCGGGAGCGTGTAGCGCAAATGTACATGTGCACACACATTTGTGCACACGGGTATCATGTGTGTGCATGTCCACAACATCACTTAACCTAAGACTGTGTGTTCTTTGTCCTCTAAGGATCAAGACAAGACCAGGCCTCTGTCCACCTTGGCCAACTTGGCCATCATCATCACAGACGTCCAGGACATGGACCCCATCTTCATCAACCTGCCTTACAGCACCAACATCTATGAGCACTCTCCTCCGGTAGGACCCTCAGGGCCCTGTGGGACTCCCTTCTGAGCTGATGGGGTGGGGGCCCTGTTTGGTGGGACAGGCTCCACCTTGGCGGTTCCTACTCCCCAAACCCCTATGTATGGCAAGGATGGGTGTCCTAGCACAGTGAAAACCCAAACCCCGCTTCACACCACACTCCATCTCCTCACCCTCTCACTTGGTCCCCAGAGGGCTCCCAGTGGCAAAGAGCAAGACTTGCTAATACGAGTGAAGGGGAGCAGTTCAGAAGGATTTACGTGGGGTGATGGGGATGCCTGTGGAAAATCCAGGCTGGGCTGCAGAGCAGATTTGGACTCAGTCAGGCTCACCAAAAACATCACTGTGGCTCAACCATGTCCCCCATGGATCAATCAGTCAGTCTGCCTCTTGGTCAACCAGTGCTGCTCAAGATGGCGGCAGCCTGCCCTCTGCTCCACAGGCCTCTCTGAGTTGGCTCTTCTCTGAGAGCTTACAGCTCCAGCTGCCCCTCCTAACTGCTCAGTCTTTGAGTTTCTCAAGTCCAGCTTTTCAAAAGAGGCACCTGATTGGCTGTGCTCATCATTTTGTGCCATGTCACAAGGCCATAGATCACCAGCCAGCCTCTGGATTGGCTGCGCTTGGGCCATGTGTCCACCCTGGTCCAATCAGCTGTGACTGGGAGTCTTAGAGAACAAAGCATGCTACTGCCCACTTGGCAGGGCTGGGGGTGGGCAGCTTTGCTCCACTGGGGGCCAGGTAGGCAATGACAGGCCTCCCTTGCCTGGGAACATCTGTGCTTTTGTGCAGACTAGAATAAAACACTCACTCTGGGCTGATAAATTAGAGTAAGGCATCTCCTCTGAGCAGATGCAACCCTTGGACATGCAGTTCGGGGAGCAGCTCTTGTGGAGAGAAAAATGGGCCCTTCCTTTTGAGGGAACTCGGTGTGCTCAGCTTCGGGAGCAAAGTGGGACGCCCACCTGAACACATGGATATTCAGGGCTGCACCTGCACATCTGCACAGGCTCCCAGAATTGGGCATAAGTGAGAGGCAGGCTTCTCTTGACCAGGGTGCAGACCGCACCCCGAGGCTGCCACAGGCTAGGGAAGCCTGACCTCCAGTTTGGAAACTGTGGTCTTCCCTGGCCGTTGGCATCCTCGGAGCACTGGGCTTCAGTCTCCAGGTGTGTGGGGGTAGCCACTTCCTTCTTGGGGTCAGATATGGACTGGAGGATCTAACAGGCAAGATGCTTTTTGGCCTCCTGTGGCAGGTGTCTGGAACTGCTTTGAGGGGGACATCTCAGTGCCCCCACCCTAGCTTCTCTTTCTTGGTGGTCCGTGGACAGCAGGAGCTCTAGCGTTTGAGACTGAAGGCTGTCTCCCTCCAAGATCTCTTTGCTAAGCCCACATCTTCTCAGCCCAGGGAGGATTCCCGACCTTTCAGACCAGGCAGACCCTTCTGTCTGCCCCCCCCGGCCCCTGGATGCCCCCTACTTAGCACTCAGTGCTCTGGAACAGCTTGTTCAACCTCTGCTTCCTGCTGGACTGGAAGCGTAGTTCGGCAGGGATGGGGTCTGCTGTGGGCGTGGCCCATCTTGGGTGCTCAGGATGTCTTTACGGAATGAGTGAATGAGTGAGTGAACAAATGCCCTCTCACCGTCCAGCTATCCTCATCACCCCTCGTGCCTGCTCCCATCACCAGTCTAAAGTCCACACGTCTGCTGGTTCCCAGCTCATTGACCACCTTTCTTAGAGTTTTTTCCTGGCTTCGTCCTCACCGGCCCGCAGACACAGCCTTTCCTCTCCCCTCAACTCTGGAAGAATTGATTCTCCCTGTGTTGCGTAATTTACCAGTGAATTATAGCCGCCCCTGTAACGTTCCCTGATGTCTAAGTAGGTTCCTTTGGAGCCCTGAGTCTCTGGGACCTGGTCTCAGGCTTCCTGGGTCTCCCAGGGTGTCGCGCCCTGGGCTGAGCGCAGAGGAGGTACTCAGAGCCAACTTGCTAATTGAAGTGAGGACATGATGGTGGCCAGGCAGCCAGAGCAGCTCGGAGCAGGCCCTTGCACTGCCATGCGCTCGCCTTGGCCAATCACACAACCTCATGACCGCTTCCTATTTGGGAAACTGGGGCTGATAATGTCTACCATGGTACAAAGAGGGTTGTGGGTTTTTTTTTGCCATTTTTAGAGATAGCACGCTCCCCTGTGTAGAGCACCCAGCAATTGCAGGTGTTAGCAGACATTCAGTCACGGTGGTTATGAGTCGTTGTCCCTTTGGCCCCTCGAGGCCACTAAAGCCAATGCCTGGGAGGCTCCCAGGAAGCAGGTCTGAGCCCCGCCGTTTGGGTCATGAGCAGACTAACAAGACGGGCAGTAAGCTGGGGGTTTTGGACTCTGCCCGATGCCCACAGGATCATCTCTGTGTCCACACACCTCTGCCCTTCCTCAGTCTCCACACTTGAAAGGAGCTCTCCGGTTTCCACATCTCTTGCACACTTTTCTTCTGCAGGCCGATCTCCTACACACCAAGCCTGATTTTTCCAGGCTTCTAATTGGTTTCCGTGCCCGGATCCGGCCCTCCGTGTCGCTTTACAGTGTGGAACCCTGATTAACGCGGTACTTGCCAGGCCAGCCAAGGTTGTTCAGCCTCCCAGGCCCGAGGACCCAGGTGTCCCCCTTCCTGGTCTTGTCTCTGCGGGCTGGGGGCCTCCACTGGGACCCTCGCCCGCTCTCCCTCGCCCCTCCTCTTTATCTGTGGCTCGCAGCATGTATGTCTCTCCCTATCAGTGTATTGGGCCGGCGTGCCTCATCTAAAGTGTATATATTACCTAATAAAATCCTTCTTATTTGGGATTATTGCATCAAATTTTAATTTCCTCACTCGAGCAGCAGCCTGTCGGCCTGCCCGTCACTGAAGGACCGATAGAAGGTGAAAAGAGCGGATAAACTGCACAAATTACTGCCGGCCGATGCCTATCAGCCCTTTGACTGGAATTGACTGGAATTAAGGACTGAGAAATAGGATTTTCTGCCTTGGAATCTGCTGTGGCAGCTCTTGTCGGAAGTCCCCTCCGACCCCCACCGTCCTCCTCGCCCCAAAGGCGCCCCCCTCTCCCGAAGCAAACTGCATGTCCAGCTTTCAAGTCCTTAATCCTGTCATGGAAATGGGGCTGGGGAGTCCCAGCTGAGCCGGCAGGGGGGGAGGTGGGCCGGAACCCCCGAGGGCAGGCAGAGCCCAGCCGGGCTCCAGCTTCAGCGGCTCTCCTGGCCAGCGTCTTTGGAAGCAGGCAGGCACAGAAGGGGAGACATGTGTTTCTTCTAGAGAAGTCCCAGCTCCTCCTGACTTTGCCCCGACTCCCCTACCGGTACCCAAGCCTCACTGGCTGGGGCTGCCTCGCACATCTCCCCCACCCCCGCTTTGGCACAGCCACTGGGCACAGAGCCCTGGGCCCTCGGACCTCTGCCACCCAGGCCACCCCAACACAGCCCCCTATTCCCCAGACACCCCCACCCCACCCATTCACCACACCTGTGACTTTAAGCAAATTCCTGAACCCTCTGAGCCTTGGTCTCCTCACATATCATACGCCCAGCGTTGGGGTTTGTGAGGAAGAGCTGAGAGACCCTGTGTCGGGTACCCAGCACAGTGCTCGGCACACAGCAGGTGCTCAAAACGTGCTGGATCTCCCCCGGGGCTGTAGCTGTTTTCTGTATGACACCCAGGGCACGCCTTCCCTCTAGGTGGGGATCGTTAATCTGGGTGCTGAGGAGTTTGGATTTGTGAAGTTATCTGGACTGTCACGAGCGTGCGTTGTCTGGGAGGGGCACCTTAGCTGTCATGGGATGCTCACAGCGGTTCCAGGCCCCAGTGGATAGTGACGGTCACTTTTATAGGATCTGCTGTGGACCAGGCACTATTCCAGGCGCTTCATGTGTGTCACTTGCTGAGGGGTGGGGACTGTTATACCCATTTCATAGATGGGAAACAAAGCAGCGAGAGGTTAAGTAACTCACACAAAGGATTCAGACCCAGGCAGGCTGGCAGCAGAGTCAAACCCTTAACCCCTGGCCGTACTGCTCTTCCCACCATGAGGAGCGGGACCACGCAGGCCTGTGCACCTTGAGCCTCTCCCAGGGGATCCTCATTTCCCAGGAGGCCTCCTCCTCGGACATGGGTTCCTGGGAAGGGAAGAAGCCCCGTGGCAGAGTGGTCCCCATCTCTCGCTCTCCTGGGCCTGCCCAGCAGGGGTCCCGCTCTGGAGAGCCAGCCAGACACAGTGCCCAGGAGGGTCTGGCTCCGGGTCAGATGGGGCCGCACTTCTCTATCCCCTTGCCTTTGGAAATAAGTTTCAGTATATTGAAAATATAATCACTGAGACTCTGAAACAAGAGCCGTGGGTTCCCAAGAGCCCCCATGCCTCCCCGTTAATTCCTTCTCATAACATTTCCAGTCTTTTTGGCTGCACTTGTATTAAAAGCTCAGGATTTTATTAAAAATGGATTTATTTACCCAAAAAGAGATGAAACCCCAAACTTTGTCAGGAGCCTGTTGGAGCTCACTTCAAGGAAGCTCCCATGTGGCTCCTCCTGGGGAAGAGCCAGCCTCTTGTCGCTGGTCCGGGATTGCCCGCTGGCCCCCTCTGAGCCCCAGCACCCAGGAGGAACTCAGGCAGCCCAGGACAGGATGCCCGCAGGAGACACTTGCAGGGCTCTTAGGACTGAGGGTTCTCGGGCCACCAGGTCCCCTCTTTGCATAGGCCAGCACTGGCCCCTCTTCCAGTGCTTCTCAGGCTCGCTGTCCGAGGCCCAGCCCAGCCACGCCTGGGTTGTATGCCTGGGGGCCTGCAGCTGCCCCTTGGGCTGTATTGTTTAGCGACTTTCTAGAATGGTGCTCTGGTAGGCGCTGGGCCCAGTTAACCTGGCAGGGCAGTCCCTGCCCTCCACAGACCAGAGGCTGCCCAGGGACGCTCATGCTGAGACACACGTGGGGCCCAGGCCAGATGGGGCTGCAAAAGAGGGAGTTGTCCCGTGTTCAGAAAGCCTGTCCTTAGGCCAAAGTCCTGCACCTTTGGGACCTCCTCTTGGGAAGAAACCCAGGCCATTCCTGTGTGAGGAGTGACCCCAGAAAGGGCAGACCCCCTCCCCAAAAAGAGCTCCCTGTGGGGTGATGTTGGGGGGGAGGGGTTAGTGTAGACCCTTCAAGTCTAATGCACTGCTTCCCGAATGACCTCCCAGGGGCACCTGGGTTTGGGGCTGTTAGCAGATGTTACATGACGAGTCTGTCTTCAGGTTAGAAAGCCTGGAGGGCAAAGGTTAACAGACTTCTTTACCACTTTCCTCCTTCCAGGAGCCTTTCCTTCACTAAAGCCCGTTGCACATCTCCCAGGGAGGGATGGGGTATGACGTTTTCCCAAATTTGACGTGAGTTAATGCTTGCGAAGTGCTTAGGCTCGTGCCCGCCTCACAGCGAGGACTTTCACGAGTGACAGCTCTCATTATCCCAACAGAACCTGTCACAGAGGCAGCATTGCCTGGCAGGCAGAGCATTTGGGAGCCGAAGTACCTGAATATGAATCCTGGCTTCACCATTCACTGGGAAAGGGCCCTTAACTCGTGTTCCTGAGCTTCCTCATCTGTAGGACGGGGCTGTCCCGTGGGGTAGCTGTGAGGGCAAGATGCGTTAGTACATACAAAGCCTTTGCAGCAGCGCGGGGCACAGTGAGTGCTCGAGAAAGGACACTCGGAGCCTGCGGGGCTCGGGTCCTCAGAACCCACTTGGGGAGATGCTCACTTAATGGTGTCTCTTTCCCCGGGGGGATCTAGCCAACATTCCTGTCCTCCCGAGGGAGGGGGCACAAAGGAGGGGACTAAACCTGCTTTCCTCACAGCCTCGGCCTCTGGGCTGCGTCCATCTCTGTGGGAGATGTTTCTCCCGGAACATTCTCCCCTTCCCTAGGCCCAGCCCTAGGGGTGTTATGGGTTGCTGCACACCTGGGCCCAGGAGGAGGTGGAGCGACAGCTGTGCGGGGGCAGCACCACCCGGGGAGGGTGAGGTGGTGGACACCCCTCCTGTGTCCTGGCAGCGAGATTAGAGGAGCTGTGTGCAGGCACCTTGCACCCCAGAGCCCCACCTTCCAGGTCAGACGGCCTGTGTGTCAGGGAACAAGCCTCTCCCTGCAGGAGAAGGTGCTCAGATAGATGGGGGCAGAGGGTGCAGCCTGCAGGCTTCAGTCTCCAGCTGATGAAGGGCGAATGGGCAGAGGCAGCCAAAGCCACAAGAGCCCTTCATTAGACACACAAATGCCAGCATTGATGTTTCCCCAGGGGATGGGGTCGGGGCTGTCCTGCTCTCCACCCGGGGAGAATGCAGCCTGGCCCGGAGCCTCAGACAGGCACGGTTGGCTGGACGATGGCGTGGTAGAGCCTGGAGAGCAAGGTGAAGGTTGCCCTGAGCAAGGGGTGACTCAGCAAGTGGCGGTGGTGGTGGTAACATTAGGATCCTCTTGTTTGTACATTCATTTATTCAATCAATCAACCGATCCATCAATTGATATTTGAATGTGCCCATTATATGCCAGGATCTCTTCCTAGAGAGTCGTATACCTCCAAGCCTCTGCCTGTGCTGCATCTTTTGCCTGCAGCACCTTCCTTTTCATTTTCTCTCTCTGGCAAACTCCTACTCATTCTACGCTTCCCATTCTAAATGTCCCATCTGCACAATCCTTTGCCCGCTCCTCCGGGTGGACCTCTGCACTTTTGAGTACATTTCTGCACTGAGCACTCCCATATGTGTATCACAGTGTCTGTGGATATGTCCTCGACCCCTCATCGTAGACTGTGTACTCCCCAAGACCAGGGACCCCTGACTCCCCTTGCTGGTAGTCCAGCTCCTGGCACCTTCTCCCCCAGTGCTGCACGTAGAATGAATGGGGTGTGGACGGAGACATTCGAGGCAGGAGCTGCCAGCTGCAGTGCTGGGTGAGGCACGGTTCCTAGGGCCATGGTGGCCTCCAGGGTGGCCACAGTCATCCCTGGAGAGACTCGCTTTCAAGATTTACGATGCTTTCATCCGTAGAGTAATTGATCCACGATGTCCTCCTTTACTCAGGCCTTAGGGAAAACAAGGTCCAGGAGTTTTTGCTGTTATTCATACTAAGGGGGACAAACTGAGACCAGAGAGGGGCAGCAGCCTTCCTGAAGTCACACACCAATTTGATGGGTGATTGAGGTAGAGACCAGATCTCCTGTCCCCCTGTCGGATGTTCCTCCATCAGCTCTTGTTTCTTGGGTGGCTCATCTGAATGAGGGGAGACGGGGAGGCAAAGGGGGAGTGAGAGCATCAGCAAGATTGGGACTCTTCAAGGGACACTGAGATGTTTGCCTGGGGGCCTCAGGGTGTGTTCCAGGGACGATGGGGGCAGCTGAGGCCTGAGCACTCGGCACCTAGGCTAGCCTTGCAGCCAGGAGTCCACCTGGGGAGGGAAACTGTGGTGCCAGGACAGCTACAAAGAAAGACAGCAGCCTGGGGGCCGGGCAACCAGACTCAAGTCCCTCATCTCTCCCACCCAGGGCACCACAGTGCGTGTTATCACTGCCATCGACCAGGATAAAGGACGTCCCCGGGGGATTGGCTACACCATCGTCTCAGGTAAGGCCTAGGCTGCCCCTGGCCCCCACCCCCACCGGAGAAGAGCCACTGTAGGAGCGCCAGGCTCTGCAGGGCTGAAGAGAGTGTGTGGGTGTGTGGGACCAGCGGTGTGAGGGGCCTTCCCCAGGGACAACCCTGGCCAAAGGCCCCAGGAAGGGGACTGACTGGGTGAATGAGGGAGAACAGAGGAGGAGAGGAGCTTGGGACAAAGGCTAAGAGGTCTGGGGGCTGGGGGGTGGTGTGGGGGGCAGGAGCATGTGCTGCTATCCAAGGGCTGAGGCAACTGGGCACTTTGGGGCTCTAAGCCTGGGACCTTGGTGACTCCCACCTAACCTTCTTCAGTGCTCTGGGCTTTTCTTTTCTTACTTGATGAAAAGGTGGCAGTTTTTACATCACTTAGAATTAATAGAGCTGCACTTTCAGCTGAGTTCATGCTCCCTTCACATTTCTGACCGCTAGAAATTCATGTCTCATCTGGAATGTTGCAGGGGGGCACATAGGCCCTCCTTCCCCACCCCGGCCCCTCATTAGAGAAGAATAGTGACTGACCACAGAGAGCGTTCTGGGGGCTGAGAGCCCGGACCCCACCGCCCCCTCCAAAGACTGACGAAATGGCAGCTCCGTTTGGCTGTCCCAGGGCTGGGGGGCTTTGGAGCAGGGGAGCTAGTGAGAGGTCCATGAGGAGCTGCTCACCATGACAGACTCCAGCTCTGTTCCTGTCCTCCCACCCCAGCCCCCCCACAGCCTCCCTGCTTAGCCCACTAGTCAGTGAGGGGTTAGCCTGGTGCCTCTCAGCAGGCCAGTGTCCACCCCATGGCCCCTCCCTGCCACACCGCTGAGAAGAGGGAGTGGCATTGTTGGGTCGTTTCCTCCCTATAGCTCGAAAGACAGCAAGGTGTGGTAATCAAGAACATAGAGGATGGAGTCCATTGCCTTGAGTGAGGCTCTATACCTCAGTTTCTCATCCATCAAATGGGAGCAATGAGAATACCTATCTAGGGTGGTTCAAGGATCAGAAGACTTGATGTGTGTAAAGAGCTTAATTCATGTATGTAAGGTATTTTGTAAGTGTTAGCTTTATTATTATTACTGCTGGCAGCTAATAATACCTTGGGAAGCTGGGGGTTAGCCGGTGGGAGGGAGACCCCTCACATCCCTGGGAATGCAGGAAGTCAGGGGTATTGTGGGCTCCCTGTGACCTGCAGCTGCTGGCCTGACTGTTATTGTGCCTCTAAGACCAGGGTACCCCAGGACCCAGAGCAGATGCTGGGCTAGCCCGTGCAGTGGGCAGCAGTGGGGGTTTGAGCCTCTGCTCCCCCCACCCCAGTTTCTCCCCATTCTGGTGCCCAGCACAGGTCTCAGCACAGAGTAAACCTCCATATGTACTTGTGGAATGAATGAATGAATGATTTTCATTCTAGGGTGGTGGGTTTTCAAACTCCAGGGTGCCCAGGAATCGCCGGGGGCTACTACCAAAAATGCAGAGTCCTCGGCCCCCGTGGAGATTCTCATTCTGTAGGACGGGGGTGGGGCCCAGGAGTGGTCCTTTCCTGCAGTGCCCAGGCAGCTCAGGTGCAGGTGATCTTTACACCAGGATGGAGGAAAGCCAGTCCTAGGAAGGAGGCCATTCTCCAGGAAGACAGTTCCCAGGAGGCCTCTCCTGGTGGGCAGAGGAGGAGGGAGGCCCATGCTGGTGCTAGTCTCCTTCATGAGTTTTTCAAGTTGGGGAGCAAAGCATGTGCCTCCCAGTGACAAGGGGCTTGTGCTAGAGATCTGAGGGAACATCATGAGCCCCAAGGGTGATGGAGTTGAGGGGCCAGGATAAGTGGCAATGTGAAGGGGACACCTGGCTGGATGGGGGATTGACTCCTCATCTCATTGCCTCTGAGCTGGTTCCAGACGTACCCCAGCCTGGATGGGGGTGAAGAGCAGGGAGGTAGGACCTGGCCTGAGGTCATGGCCAGACCAGAAATTCCTCCAGTGATGCTGGGAGACCATGCTCCAGGGCATTGGTCCATGCTGGATTCCAGGCTGCCAGCCTTAGCCCCACAGGTCCTCTCCAGCTTTCAGAGATGGCCCCAGCCACCTCTTCCCCCTCACCCCCTTCCCCTTGGAGCAGGAGGCTAGAAGGCAGAGCTGCTGAGCCTCTGGTGTCTGGACTGGGCTTGGAGCTTGGAGCCTGAGGACAATTGCCTATAGCAGCATCCTATGGGATTTCCAAGGGTAAACTCTCCTGGGCCAGGTTCTCAAGTACAAATAACAGGAGAACCAGGGTGTGAAACTATAGGGAGGAGATGTATGTGAAGGTGGAGGCAGGAGACAGAAACTTCTGGAAGGCCTGGAGCACTTAGCATAGCTTTATAGGATTCCTACTGCCAGCCCAGATGTGCCTTGAGGGCTTTTAGAAAGGATGACAGATGGGTTTCCTCTCCCATGCCAACATTGATTGATTGGTAATGGCTGCCTGAAGAGGACCATGAGCCAAACCAGCTCAGTGTGGTATTCAATTGGTAGAGCCTGCTATGGGTGTGGAAAGGAAGAGGGCAGCACCCATGGCAAATATTTGCAGTCCTTATTAAGATAGCACTTGGACCACGCTCGCTTGATGGGTGGCCTCTGTGGTCCTCTATCTCATGGGTGTTTGTCACCACCTGACCCCACCCACTTCCCTTTCAGACAGCTTGAGGAAAGGGCGGTCCTTCTCTTTTTCTTCCTTCCCCATCCTGAGAACCTGGCTCAACAGGGTGCCCACCCACCGGTTCCTGCCTGCCCTTCTCCCTTGGCCCTGGGCTGGCACGGTCTCCCTGCACGCCAGCCTCCGTGCGAGCCTAAAGCAGGTGGGCAGGCAGGAGGGCAGAGTCCCCAGGGGAGCAGGTGGGCAGAGGCGAGGATTTGGCCTCGTCTCGGTTTCTCTCGGCTAGTAGACAGAGCTGCGAAGAACATTGTCCGCCAAGGGCGTGGCCTCACACCCCGGCCTCTCCGTGACCTTAAGTCACAGCCCTTTCCTGGGAGGCTTGGCTGGTGCCCGTTTGGCCTGAAGCAGGAAGAAGGGATGCCCCAAAAGGACCTTCACGCTGACTGCCCCAACCTGCCCCGAGTGCCTGGGGGAGCCTGCTCCAGCGCTCGGTGCTCTGGAACCATTTTCAATTGAAAGAAAGAACCGAGGGCCTCGGGGGCTCCCAGAGCCAAGTGCGAGTCCTGAGGGCGTGGTGGGTGACCCAGTCTCCAGGCGCCTGCAGAGCCAGGTGGTGGCTCTGTCTGCACGTGGGTGGACACAGGCCTGAACCCACAGTGATCCACAGCACACAGTTAACCTACCCAGCTCCCCGAGGCCCCGTCCCCTCCAGGCTGTTTATCAGCCCTGCAGGTGGGGGATTTATGTCTGCACACCAGTGCTTTCCCCATTACTAATGACCCCTCTGTTTTGCCAAGAACAAAGAGGCCTTCAGCGGTAAGTTATGGCTCCATTGCCATCAATTTGTTCTCAGCCTCTCGTGGCCAAGCTGAGACTAAAGAATGACAAGGTTCTTTTCCTGTAGAGGACCTGGCACGGGCCCCATCGCTCCCTCAGCCTTACCTGCCCTGCCGCTCACCAAGGGCATCACTTCCCCAGGGCCCAACCAAGATGGGGCTCTGGCCGGCTCCCGTCCCCAACGGCCCGCCCCCAGCCTGTGGTCTGAGCAGACACCCTCCTCTGCCAGACAGAGACAGTCCAGCTTCAAGGGGCAGCTGTGCCCCCCTCCACCACAGAGCCCTGGACTTAGAGTCCAGAGTTGTGTGTTTGAGGCCCAGCTCTGCTACCTGTGGCAGTGTGTCTGAGCAAGGCTTTTGAGCCCCTTAATAACCCCATGATCGTCATCCGTGGAACGGGATTGATTATCCCCATGGCAAATAAGATGGTGCCAGAGAGACTCTAAAGGGCCATAAAATATTAAGCATTATCAATTATGAAGGAAAGATCAGGACCCAGGGTCCTTGAGACCCCTATTCACTCATTTTCTCCTTCGTTCAAGTAGAGAAGTGGTTAGAGTGCGGGCTTCAGGGCCGCTCTCCAGGGTGGTGACCACCAGCTGGACTGGCCAGTACAGTTGCCTGTGGGGCTGCCGAGCACTTGAAATGTGGCTGGTCTGAACCGAGATGTGCTGTAAATATAACCCACAAGATTTTGAATACTTAGTATGCAAAACAGATTATAAAATATCTCATTAGTAATGCCTTATATTAATGACATGTTGAAATGATATTTTAGATATACCGGGTTAAATACAAGGTTATTAAAATTAATTTCACCTATTTATTTTTTCTTTTCACGTGGCTGCTAGAGAATTTAAAATAACACCCGTGGCTCACATTCTCTTTCTAAGGGCATCCCTATTCCAGAGTTAGACTGCCTTGGTTTGCCTTCTGCCACTGACCAGCTGTGTAACCTTCTAAGCATCAGTTTTCCAGTCTGTAAAATGGAGGTAATAATAATCCGGGCCTCACAGGGATGCGTGAATGTCCTGAGAGCTGGTGGGGCGCAAGGCACCGTCCTGGCCTCAGGAACCTGCGGTGCCGTGGGGGAGACAGACAGTTGCCCTGGTGGAACCCTGGGAAGAGAAGAGCGCACTGTGTTGATAAGTTGGCGTGGAGTGGTGGCTCCCTGGGGGGGTCTGTTAGACTGCTCTCTCTACTTTTGTATATGTTCAAAAGTATCCATAATAAGAGGTGAGAAAGAGTTCATGGGAGGGGGCACCTCCCCCGGCCATCAGTGGGGTGGGGAGACTCACTGAGGAGAGATGGTCTGAGCTAGGCACTGACTGGTGAGCCGGAACCAGCCAGGAATTGCGGAGGGAGGGTGTGTTGCAGGCAGAAGGAGCGCTGAGTACCAAGATCCAAGGGTAAGAGAGAGCGCCGCGAGGCATGGGACTGCAGTGATTTAGCGTGCCCGAGTGCAGGACGTAGGGAGGCCGTGGGGAGAGGAGGGCACTGAGAGAGGCAGGGCTCGGCCATGCACGGTG